CTACTCTTTGCTTCAAAAATCTATCACATTTATTGTTAAAAATAAAAACAAAATACAAGTAGGTTACAATAAAGTTCAAATCACAACCAACAATGGATAAGCTAGAGTATAAGATTTACGTAGAGATAGAAAGAAAGGAAGCTCGCAAAGTCGCAATACATCGATCCTTGTTTCAGGTGAAGTAAACAAGTCCTAGAAAAATGCAAAGCGTTGATAAATTGAAATAATTGCCAACACCGACTCTTGTGTACTCTTTTGCTCCTAAATTTGATCTATAAATAAAAAAAGGAGTTGATCTAATTAGATTGAAAACTAAATTTGAAGAGCTTTTCAACAAGTCACTCACCAATTAAATATCAACGAAAAACAAGGAAATTATGACGTTTGAAGATGAATTATTGTTATAAGAATTTGTGTTTATTTTCATTTTATTTTAACAAAGCAAAATCCACGTTGACTTGAGTCAGATAATAATTGTATGACTTCAGCAAAATCAAATGATAAATACGATGTTAGAAAGGATAGTTGATTAGCTAAATAAATACTATAAAACCTCATAATAACTTGACATATAATATAATCTTTGTCACCATTGTAATAAAATAACTACAGGAAAAAAGCATATAAATCCTAGTGGAAGAATAATCGATTTTAAAGTTCATAAAATAATTTTGTAAGAAGGTTGTCAGTTACTTTCTAAATCTACGATGACTTCATCATCATTCTATTACTTTCATAGTTTTTATTATTTTTCTTTGGTCCAAGAACACTTGAAAGATTTTATTTTATTATTAGTATTAGTATTTATTTATTAATACCTATAAATGTTTGATTCATGCTTAATGAAATATTTGATAGATCCCTAAAAAAATAAAAAATAAATAAAAAAATTGATAGAAGGGAAACTAGGAAAATTATTCGCATAATCTGTAGTATATCTTCTTATAATATAATGAGCAATTATATATTGAGGCTTGCAATCTTTACAAGTAGGGATGGCAATCCAGTCCGAACTCGACCCTACTCCGCCCCGATCCGAGGTAAAAAATCTGTTCCGAGTCCGAGAAAAAATTAATCCGAGTTTGACTCCGTTAAGATAATCTGACTACGAGTCGGAGGAGGGTCAGAGTCGGATCCTACAAAAAAATCTGAGAAAAAAATTCGACTCCGACAAATGTCCGACTCTGACGCTATTATCCGACTCCGACTCCAATAGATAGTGGACTTTTTGTGTGGGTTAAGTTGGCATTGGGCGTGGGTTGCAAAGGCCCAAATAGCCCAATTTCTCAAAGTATAATGAATAATGAAAAAAAACCCAAAGTCGGGTCGGATCAAAGTCGGAGGTCGGATATTGAAGTCGGACTCGGAGTCTCGGAGCTTCCTGTCGGGTCGGAGTCAGATTTAGCATAATCCGCTCCAAATCCGACCCGTTGTCATCCCTATTTACAAGTAATATAACAAATAAGGTTGACATATTGTGACCAATCCTATCATTTTTTTAAAATTTTTTTTTTAAACAAGAATTTTATAATTTTACTTTCTCCAAAAAGAATATATATTTTACGTGATCATTATAACAATTAAATTACGAAACAAAATATATAGGAGACTTAATTTATATGGAGTATTAATATTTTCATAATTATTCCTATATGGCTATATTAATCCCTATATTGATAGAATTTTGCATTTGTTTATGTACAAAACTACAAATTAATAGTACTTCAATACTCATACGTATACAAAATTGGATTCTCTCTTTTATTTGGAACAAAAGAAAAGTTTCCATGGTGTGAGAAATGCCACTTTCAAAGTTATACAACTGCCCAAATTCCCTAGAGACCCAAGTATTAGAGCACTCATGAAGTCGTGAACCATAACTAAGGCACTATATATGCACACCAAGAATTCAAGCATGCATGTATAGCTGTCAATTTTGTACCCAACCGTACCTTAACACGTGTCAACACGTGTGAATTGAAGAATTATGCTTGAATGAAGAAAGATGGGGGTTTTCTTAGGGGGTGTCATTTTTTTTATTTTTTATTTTTTATTTTAGCTTATGATGATACTCGGTTTATTTAAGTGTTTATGGAGAATCTTTATCAGTAATATCTTTAATTAACATTAAGTATAAATTTTAAGGGCTATGTATAACATTTTCCAAATTTTAAAACTGACATTCGAAAACAATGCATTGAATTGTTTATAGCAAGTATCCATATGACTATGTTTGATCTATAAAGAATAAACATTGGTCAAAGGCTCAAAGCAAACTAAAGTAAAGTAATGTCAAAATCAGACTAAACACGTAAGGGACTAAGGGGGGAGAGTTGGGGAATGGGGGTATGAAGAAAGTGAATATCAGGTCACACATGATACAATGATAATTTAGTATCCTAAATGTATCAACTCAATCTGTTTGATAGATACAATCTTTACCACTAGTTCTACAACGAGCAAAAGTCATAGCCTCATAGGCATCCTAAAATTATGATGAACGAACTCAGTTGGCTTCCCTTGTTTTAAGAAACAGGATCACCAACTTCGGCCTGAAAATTAGAACAATAAAAAGTGTGAAAACAATGAAAGCTAGATATAATTTTTAAACAAGGGATCAATTACCATACAAGTCGAGCAGCATTAGAGCCTTAGAGGGACAATAAGTGCTTTTGTAATCAGAAACTTTGCATTTGTCGTCTAAATTGGTAATGCATCCTGATTGAATAACCTAGTTCGCTGGTAAGTCTTAGGGCCTGTTCTGTTCAGCTTAATTCAGTTTAGTTCCTGAATTCCTTCTCTAATAAACAATTCATTTCAGTTTAGTTCAGCCCCATCAATTCAATTCAGTTCAGTAAATCGAAACAGACCCTTCTTAGCTAATATACAATGAAATATAACTTGGTTTAGCTCATGAAAAGCCGATTCACATTGGTATGGATATAATACGAGCATGAAAAGGGGATAAATATGAAATTTTAATTACTACCTCGGTTAACTATTATTTGCAACAAAGGGGTATTATTTGTGAGATATAAAATAGTCCTTTGTTGCAAATAATAATTAACGGAGGTAGTATAAGAAATAGTTCAAGAAAACCTTATGCTTTGAGAAGCAAGTGTTTTGAGTGAAGTTTATTTCTGAAACATGAAGCTTGCAGTAGAGGCCCTTTTCTTCTCGTTTCACCAAGGAATGATTCATGATCCATGAATTAGCCCCAAATTTAGCTTTCTAATTCTCAAGACAAAACAGACTATGTCTGCTTCCAACTGAGGCCTACACATTGAAGCAAGTGAGCACGCAGCCTCGTGTCAAAGATATAACCCAAACACGCACAACAGTAAACCAACAGCTAACTACTGTTAGTAGGACTCTGTTTGGGACCTGATGTTTTCAAGTCAGGCATTAGTAGATAAGTTAATGCATCTTTAACAATCTCAGGAACTAATCATCCAAGGAAAATATCCCAATTTCAAGTTAAAAGGAATGCATGCCTTAGTTTAGTTCTCTTATATACTGGTACTAAATTGACGGCTGAGCATAATAACTGTATTTCTTCCCTCACTTTAGATACGGCAATTACTGATAGGATTGGACATGTTAACCTAGTACATGTTCTTCAATCCGGGCAAAACATGCCATGTTTGAAACCAATATTTTCCTCCATCATGCTTCACTGCAGTCAAGCCTGTAATTCTGCATACATTCTCGCTTTAATTTCCTCAGATTCCTGCCATATGATCCCTATGTAACAGCCTCATTCATATTTCACAGTTATTCCCTGCAAATTTTATAGGTTCATGAAAGAACCTCACAACATTAAAAGGGTTTCTGATTTGCATGCTTTAATGGGAATTATTGTAAATAAAAAGGAAGATAAAAACAGAGAAAAGATACAGTATTCTGATATCACATACACATACCAACTCAGTTAAGCATGAAAAATCCTTGGATAACAATTTTTAGCAACTACATATGATAAAACACTTTGGTAATCAGATTACCTTCTCATCGAAACAATTCGGAGCAGTGAACTATCCACACAGCCAAATCACAAAACTCCAGGATTCTGCTAATACATTAAAGACAACAATTAAAGAGACTTTCAGGTGGCTCAAATGGACTGAGATTCAAATGAACATCACAAGTGTCCAAATCAAGTACATCAGATGTGAAGCTTCCATAACAGTGATAGTTCTCTTCCCACGACTATGTGACAATAATGAATCACAACACTAAGAACAATAAATTTAAATAACAAAAAAAAATTAGCAATCCTGTGAAATTGGTACTGTAGTCCAAGTAACGAAAGAATTGCAACAGAATTTATAACAGCATGAATAAATGTGTGAATGTGTCCACATAAACTATGGAAAAATTCAGCTTATCATGCTGTCCCGTTTTAAGACCATAGACATCAATCTCATCATCTTGGCCTGTGAGCAGTATGACTGAAAACATTTTGGCAGCAAATGTTGTAAAATCAGATGGATACACAAGTAATTTCAGACAGAATGCTCTGAAGATGCTCAGACAAAACATTTCGCCTCTATCAGTAGGGATAGTGTGCTTTGTCACAACGATATAAGTAAATCAATTCACAAAATAAACATGCATCAATAACAGCCAAACCAAGAAAAAAAAAATTAGGAATACAATAATACAGCCATAGAGTACCTTTGCATTAATTATCATTTATAAAAAAAAGGTTCTCGTCAAAAAGAAATTATCAAAAAAAGGTGTGCCTTACAATAGTTTATACATCATGGGTATACATTTATTTCTCCAAAAACTAAGTGATCTATGTAACAGAAATAATATAAGTTCTGTACTAAAAACAATAAAATTAGAAGTCGTCAAAATCAGGAATATAGGCTTCTTTTTAATAACACAAACAATTCGAGTTCCACAGCACAACAGCAGCCACCACTGGGTTCCAGCACTACACTTATTCACATTTACAATTAAGGAATCTGTACAAGTATTCACGTCTTCACGTCTTCAACAGGTAATAGGTATTCATTAATACATGCAAACCTTCATAGGGTTACTGATCACATGAAAGAGGAAGGTTGTTTGCCACAAACTTAGCAAGAGGAGGCAACTGTGAACACGACTACTATAAATGAGGGGTTACAAAAGGTGTTTGTTAAACCCTTTTGAGGATGATAACAGAAGCAGCAATTCTTCTCCATTGATACAGAATCTGCCAAAGCATATGCCCTTGCTCCTTGGCGTTGGCAGCAACAGGATTGGCACTGATGTTATTATACTAAGCACAGTTCCTATCAGCTTATGACCACAGGTCTACAAAGCATAAGTGATCTTTTATAGCATCAAGGCATAAACCCAGAATCTGAACATATGCTACATAAGCTGATACTCCAGTGAATTTGGCCTCCAAGCTCCTTCAATCTCAAAAGAAGGGTATAAGACACAGCTATTCATTCATCCATGCCGGCTGACCAAATTGAACCACTACTCTATCAAGAGCTGATACTCCAGTAATTTTCAGTTCAGGTAATTATGCTTAAGTACAAGACCAACAAGATCAATAACTCATATATATGCCAGTGAGGCAGGGTCAGGAGAGGCCAAGATGTACGCAGCCTCCTGCTTCTAGCCAAAGACTATTTGAGAAGCTGTATGAGATAGACTTTTTGTAGGGAAGCTGATATGCATCCTTGAGATCCATGAAGGAAATATAGAAAAGACCATTCCTTCTCAATATAGTGTGACCTGATAGCAATATTATATAAGATCATCATCCTTTTCCATATCCTGCTGAATTATCAGAAGTAAATTATCCTATCTTCCAGGTCTTTGTTTACCTAACTCGGAATAACAAAGATACTGGAACCAAACAGAGTCCCTTTTCCTTTAAACCTGCATAGCTGATATCTGTCCCAATATAACCTGAATGTGGTACTTCTCCAGTCTGGTTAGAGGTATTTTGTTTTTCCTGAAGAATAGAAATGCCAGAAAATTTTAGTGAAGTGAAATATTAAAGAAGTGAAGAACGTCCACATTGTTTGGCACAAATGCAGACCAATGCAGGCAATACATTTGAAACAATTCCTAAATAGTTGTATTATACCTGAAAAAGGCTAAAAAAGTCATGCTTCCCTTGTTGCACTGGTGGTAAAATGTTCAAAACACCTGTCTCTTGTAATTTTATTTGCAATTTTTCCAAGTCTTCAGCCTGAATTACAAAAACATTGATTTAGTATCAAGGGAAGTTGACAGGAAACCTTAAGAAATATCAAGAAAACTTTACACTAAGGCAACAAACTATGGGTTTGCAGGGATTAACATGAGAGCTACTCCTTACCTCAGAATTACAAACAGGAGAAATTGCAGTGTCCTCCAGTTCAGGATCAATATAAGTTGCCAGAATCTTTCTCCTTTTAGCAACAGACCTAGCTGACGCAACACGATCATCATTATTCATGTTCATCTTTTTTACCAAAACAGCAGCACCAGAAAATATGGAAGAGTTTTCAGAACCAGAACAGGTAACAGTATCCTCCACATTACTGATAGCTATGGAGTTGTCGAAGTATGAAGACCAACCACTATCTTCAGAAGAAACCTCATGTCCATCACCAGAAAAATTAGATTTGTTCTTGTGGTTTGTGGAGCTCATAGAATCCTCCATTAAATCACCAAGTTCCAATAAAGCAGTTAGAAGGTTTTGAAGACTAATGCAAAAGCAGAGGAAAAAAAAAGGCTTAAAAGGTTATTCAAGTTTGCCCAAACTGCTAAGGGTTGAGTTCTTTTATAGAAGCATTAAATAAATTTTAATTTAAGTTTTCCAAAAAGATATTCCACGTTTCATTTCTAGAGCTTGCCTTCCACTCCAACAAAATTAAGGCATGGAAATGGGAAAGTCATCTAAAAAGACTTGGTAAAATATCATGTCATCCACCCCATCACCAAGTCAATATCTCACGTGGGAAGCATATTCTACAAGATAACATTAATCCATGGAAACAATTGTTCAAAATTATAAATTTTAAAACTATATAAAAAAAAAATTAAATTATAACCATAATATGATGTCGCAGTCCTAAGAAACACAAGTACTTGTCACATTATTTCAGAAAAATCCTTCAAAGATTTATAGTTAAATGATGTTGTTGTCTATTTTTTTTTCCCCTTATAAAGTTGATATTGTTAAACGGCTTTTCAAAATTAATAGATGAAAAGCACATAAGAGGGACCATAGAATTCTTTCAAAAAAAAAAGGACCATAGAATAAGAGAAAATAAGAATGCCAGGAAACAAGCTATATATACTTGACAATTTGACATCAAGCGGGTGAGATAACACCATTGGCCATCAAACATATCCAGTGCAACCAGTAAATACACTATGTGGCGCAACTATTTACCTTTCAACAACCATAATGTAAAGCACAGAACAAAAAAAAATCTAGAAGTGGCATCTTACCCTCTACCAGTGTATAGGTGTTAGAATCCAACTCCTTTTGATGTATTAGATTCCATTTAAGTGTTTTCCTAGAGTTTAGGTTATGTTTTCTTAGCTTGAGGTCCCATTATTGTGTTACTGTCAGATCAGTGTTCACTAGGGATTCTCCTTGTATGTCATTTAAAGCTCTTTAGAGGGCGAATGATTAATGAAATCTTAAAGCCTTCTACCAAGTGTTGCCTTGCTTTTATGCTTGTTTGTTGTTAGACCTTTATAGATATTGTGTCTTACTTGCATATTAGCTCCCCTCCAACCCAACTTGATGCGCTAAGGACTCGTGGTTCGGACCCGCTTGTGCCCGCTTTGAAGTATCAGCCGTCACAAGCCCCGACCACCCGCACTCCGTCGCCCAGATAGACGTGAGTGCTCCTGAGATTCTATTGCCCGCTTGTTGCTTTGTGCTCACAAGCCCCTCTTCCGCTCAAGGCTAGCGTTCTTGCCGCCAAAAGGCTAGAGCGCGTCGCACGTTTCGGGGTCCAAACTCCCGGACCGTGACAATAGGACTATACAAGTGCACACATGAATATGGTATCACTTATAAATTTAATACTGTATAAATTCTAAGCAGTCATTCTAATTCTACTTCCTAGGTTTTAATTAAAAAAAAAAAAACATACTCAACAGTTATTCTATTGTCAAGATGAGCTAATTTAGTTGCCCTCGGCAGCCAGGTAAGTGTACGCCTATTAGAGATGTCAAACCACATTATTTTTTGGCAACTCATAGAAAACATATTTGACCCCTATATTTGAACAGGATAATTTCAGCAGGTGCAAATAAACGACTATGTCTGAAAACTTGAAAAGTGTTTTGATAAGCATAAATGATAAACAATCTGAATTATTTAATAAGCATTTGGTATAATAGTGGCCATGAATCCTGATTAACTCTTATATTATTAATATTTCAGATCCTCCAAATCTTTAGCTGAAGAGTTCAGCATAGTTTAGGCAATATGCTTATCAGCTTCTAAGAAAATTCAAATATCCCATTTTGACCAACCCTATTAAAGTGCATATTAAAACATCCAGAATGAAATTACATTGATTTTCAGCACGTAGTACGGTAGTAGTCGTGGAAAACCATGAATGCCAGAAATAAAGAGATGGAATACTAAGCTTGAGATAATTCTGAACTTGTTCAGCAAGGATAATAAACATTATACTAATCAAATTTGACCAAAATATTTTAAGTAATCAATTTTTATTTGACTCATTATAAATAATTTGCATATACTTATGTAGAAGAATTTTATTTAATATGGCCTAATGATGGGGGCTCAAGCTGGTCCTAACAAACCCCTGATAATCAGACACTGAAATGTTTGACAAAAAACAGCTTACTTCCTTGTAGCCACTGAACTACAACCATCCTAGTCTCTGTCCTACCAACATTACTCGCCCATGACCATACCTAGCTAGGTAATGCTGGTACACATCATTAGAGAGGCTCAATATTTCATTAACTACCAACTATTGTCAAACAATCACTTTGTTCTGGTGAGTAGTGAGACTTGTGACTGACTCATGGGAAACACAACAGAAGCATTAAAAGCAATAGCTTCAAGTTGAGCTAGGATCATAATTCATAAATATTTGAATTAATTTTAAATCAAGGTAAATTTTCTAATCACAAAGAAACATATCATTTGTCAAACATAAGAGCAAAAAGTTATTCTGAATCCGCATATTTGAAATTTACACAAAATCTTCATTTATATATAACAGAAAAGAAATCCATTTGTCAAATACTACGAGATATGAAATTTACACAAAATCTTCATTAATATATAACGGAAACATATCATTTATATGAAATTTACACAAAATCTTCATTTATATAATTTTAAATCAAGGTAAATTTTAAAATCACAAAGAAACATATCATTTGTTAAACATGAGAGCAAAAAGTTATTCTGAATCCGCATAATTGAAATTTACACAAAATCTTCATTTATATATAACAGAAAAGAAATCCATTTGTCAAATACTACGAGATATGAAATTTACACAAAATCTTCATTTATATATAACAGAAAAGAAATCTATAATTTTGTTGCAACACAAATCATCAGAGTTGCAGTCAAAGATCATGAGAGGTCAAGTCCATATTCATATATTGGCAACCAGATTGACGGAGCCTCTAGATTTAGCCGCAAATTTTACTCTCAAAATATTATTTTCTTCGAATTTTCACATATTCCAATTGACTAATCAATCATGCAACATTCACATATGATTCCCTTGAAGAAAGATTCCAAATACAATACAATTCCTATGTGGATTGTCTTCCATTATTTTATAACATTCGCGCACGTTTCATTCCTCATGCCTGACTCTCCCACCTGTCATTAACCTGCTCCTTGCTCATTCTATATAAAGCCTTTATTAAATGTCTATGTTTGACCAGAAGTAAGGTACTACCTGATCCATGCCATGACAACACTTTCACAAATGATTTATTTTGAAGATTCTAACCATACAATTAAAAATAAAACAAAAACAAAATTTATATATAAATGCATAAGGTATGATAGGAGACTCATCTGCCGCCGCCTACATTAGGATATATGAGGACATCCTCTCTACTTAACATAGAATACCTTCGCATGTTTGAGGAACTGACAAATTAGTAAAAGCCACATAGAGGTATGTTCATGGTTGTCAATAACCACAACATGGGGAAGTGAAATTGAACTCCTTGGTGGGCTTCCAATCAAGCAGTAGGATTGCTTTCATACTCAGTACACTACATCGTGCTGTCTTGCTTATCTTTTACTTTGCGTCCAAGGAATGCATACCTTGTAGAGAGTCATTCAAGGGATGACATCATTTCGTGATGACAAAGCGCATCAACATTCCCACACGTGCATGCAGATGTTTCTGTAGCATAGGACAGCAGATTGTATACTGATCAACTTACAAAAAAAAAAAAAAACATATATATTGCGAGGAAAATACAAACTAACATGAAAGTAAAGAGAGCTTGTTCAGCATGGATAGCAGAGAATATTCCTAACCGCCCCCCCCCCCCCAAATGCGCAACTCTCTCTCCCAATTGGGTTCCTTACTTACAACAGACAAATCTTCCAAGCATTTAAATCAAACTAGATAGAACTGTAAAAGGTAAAGACAGCAGACTGCAGCAAAACGAATAATACATCATTATACTCATAATCTCTTATGTTGAGGATAAAATGAATAACTACATTCACCAAAACTTAGTCATTGATGTCAACAACTGAAGGTGAAGGACTTTGTTGTGCATTTGGGACACAGGAAAGTTGCTAATGACTATAATTTTTTGCAATAAGATACTTTTGAGGATCTCAAGATTTCAACCTACCACAATCATGTAGTCAGCAGAGTAATACAAACAAAAGACAAAACAAGAGTTCCTCAAAATACCATTTCATATTGACAGCAATAATAATACTAATGATGCTAGCATGTAACATGTCTACTTCGGGAAATTTATTGCTCAAACACAAATTGACAAAATATATCCCAGATAATCTCTTTGCTAAAGAGCTACGGTGAACAAAGTACAAGTGTATTGAATAACTGATAACTGATAAGATGTATCCCAGATTCGGGATAGTCCTCCAGTGGCTCCAATCCCTTATTACTTAATATAATATCAGTCAAACTACCAGGGAATATTTACATATAATGTACACAGAGAGAGAGAGAGTGAGGGAGGGAAAAAAGTTTCAAAAATCAGCTAAAATTAATATTGTTGCAGCAGTCATCGCCATTTGTCTTTGTCAAGGTGCGTATGTAATTGTGTAACGTACACCTCATATAGTCAATATTTTAGTGTAAATTGAATTTCATGCTTCAAAAGACGAAAAATCTTCGTTAGAAAGAGATTAATAGTATGTAAAATTAAACAGTATAACATGAGGTGTGCATAAGATAAGATATTAAAATAGTGGAGAGCTCAACAAGCCTGGTACACATTAATTTTAATATTATAGTATTGATTGAAAAAAATTAATGTCCAAAAGACTACCATATGCTTTAAAGAATTGAAAAATCAAAAAATTTTGGAAGCAGATGTAGCTTTTGGGATCTGTGATCAGTCACACAAATTCATAAGAGATTGGAATTCAACCAAAATTTGAAACATTAAAAAATCGGGTTACATTATCAACCCTCAATGAACAGAACTACCAAGAATACTCACATAGTTTGACTGTTAATTCTCTTAGAATAAACATATTGTAATTTAAGAAAGTATTTTTTTAATACCAATACTACTTGAGTCAAAGCATATAATTTCTGTATATTAACATAACCTAAAAGCCAGCAATTAACATTCGAACTCAAAAGCATGTCTTAGTAGTTAGTATTATGAAACAATAAAGGTTAGTGCTTTATTAATGCAAAATTGATCAATAAAGTCAAAACCAAACAAAACCTGGAAAATTAAATGCACCTACAACTTCATCACCATCACAACCCAATCTATTGATCGGATGATGGGCGGCTAAATGTATTAGTTCAAGTTCACCCCTAAA